TATTAACATTTTTAATTAGTTGTACATTATTTTCTGCATATTTTGTGAAGCATTCTATAGAAAAGAAAATATGATTTTAAGTAAATACAGTAAAAAATGGTATAAATATCAATATAAAAAATGTAATGCTATGGTAACTTTTTCTTCATTCCTTTCAGGAAATATGCAAACACCCCAAAAAAGTAAAGCATGGAAAATCAACTTATCTAAATATGTTATGGATGTCCACAAACCATGAAAAATATATTAAAAATTATAAATACTCATAAAATGTATTACAAATTATTTTACATGCAGTAGTTCAATCAGATTTTGAAAATGATACTTAACAAAAGATTGGGTCATCAGAAAGAGTAAGAAAGCTTAGATATTAACACACCTCAAGTCTATTCTATCCAAATGTTGCACACTATCTATCTTATTCAGCACTACATGAGAACATGATTTTTCTCCCTCCTCAGTATGTTCTGCAAATAGGTTTCGTAATTTGGCTTAATGCCAAAGACAAATAGAAACAAATACATCTATCTCAACCTAATTTTTTTCCACTTTTCTTTTTTTTATACAAAACTTTCTCATTCATGTTTATCGACTCTATTATGCTCAGTCAAGCAAAATCAGGGCTTAGCAGCCTACAAAATATTCTTAAAATACAGAAACAATGCTACCAGCTCTATTTTGAATATTCGTTCAAAAAAATACTTTTAAAACATAAACTTTAAAATGCCATTAGCATGCAATTATGCAATTATTTCATTCTATGACATCATATGGGTGACCGTACCACATAGTAGTCAGGAAAGGAGGTTCAGGGGTCTTGACCACCTGGACCCGAACCTTGACTCCGCACTTTGGTGAATATGACCTAGGGTAGGAGCTTAGCCTTCTCGAATGCCTCCCCTTCTCCATCTACCTGACAGGGTTACTGGGAAGAGTAAATAAATCAATATATGGAATACTTAGACTGCTGACTGGACATAGGATCCTCTATAAAGACTAGCTAGTATCTGTCATGAACTCCTCCCTTTCTCATAATTTTATGTTTATGATGAGTTGTTACATTAGAAACCTCTTTGAAAAGTAAAGTAGATCGGTCTTACTGTATATCAGAGTTTGAGTCTCCCAATAATTATCTTCATAATTTTTACTTAAGTGAGAGCTAAATCCTGGTTCAAGAAATTACCCCCCCCCCCCACACACACACAAACAAGCCCATTTATTCCAATTGCATGTACCAAGTAAGGCAAATTTAAGTGTTGACATCCATTTCATAGATACCTCCAATTTTTCAAGGTTTATGATTCTATCATAAAACTCATTTCCCAAGAAAGCTTGCAAATCTCTCAGTCTGTATGTCATTATTTTTTAACTGTCTTTTTTTTTTTAGTGCATTTGACTTGACCGGTTATTAGCCAAATCAAAATTACCTTTAAAAATTTTTAAATACAGATTCCACAAATAAACACACTGGATAAGAGTAGTGAAGCCACACGCAGAAGCAAAGAAAGGAGCTAGCACTGAGGGTGTGGGTGTGGATGACCGTTCAGATGAAGGCTGACACCAATGGGGGCAGGGGTGGCCATCATCTGGATCCACCCAGTGGCTCTCACGAGGGCGGTTGGCTGGTGTAGCATTCATCCCAGACATCAGTCAAAGTTTAGACACCTACCAAAAAAAAAGTACTCTAGGCTTCCTTTAATAATATATCATAACTCATTTTTAAAAATGATTTTTAAGTGGTACCTTACTTGATGGGGTAATTACTTTTGTAAAGTCACCATAGTCTATCTAAAGTAGAAACTTATATTGTTTCAAACTTTAAAGGGAAGTCTCTGGCTCTAATATTGTAGAATTTAGTAAACAAACCTGTTTAGTAGCTTATATAATTATGATTGCACTGAGCTTGATGTTTCATTCTCATGTTTGGATGGAAGCACTTCCCTTCCCATGCTTATTTTCTGCTCTTCCTTCTCAGGTAAACAAACCAGAACCACAAACTGTGCACAGAGGTGGGGGAACTCCAGCTTTATATAAAACTCTTCCTGTTGGGTCTTACTGAGACCCCAACTGAGTCAAAATTCCAAACTGCTTGTTTTAAATGATAGCTTTTCTTAACTGAAAAACAGACAGCAAAGGCATTTTTTTTTAATTTTGTACAAATAAATCTATTTTCTAAAGAATGCAATTGAATATATTTGAAAACTGGCTGAAGTAACTTGCATCAGCTAATAAAAATGGATAAAAAAGTTCAGAAGCCCAAATCAGTAACCTCAGATATGTAAATGAACAAATTAGTTGATTTTACATGGAAGTAAGCTTGCAATGCAAATGCGTGTGTGAATGTGCACATATGTATCCATATTCTTATGTGTGTATGTGTGTGCATATTTTTGCATTTATTTAGAGAGGGATTTGGTGCTGAGAAATTATGACATGTGTAATGAAATATTAACATTTTTAATTAGTTGTACATTATTTTCTGCATATTTTGTGAAGCATTCTATAGAAAAGAAAATATGATTTTAAGTAAATACAGTAAAAAATGGTATAAATATCAATATAAAAAATGTAATGCTATGGTAACTTTTTCTTCATTCCTTTCAGGAAATATGCAAACACCCCAAAAAAGTAAAGCATGGAAAATCAACTTATCTAAATATGTTATGGATGTCCACAAACCATGAAAAATATATTAAAAATTATAAATACTCATAAAATGTATTACAAATTATTTTACATGCAGTAGTTCAATCAGATTTTGAAAATGATACTTAACAAAAGATTGGGTCATCAGAAAGAGTAAGAAAGCTTAGATATTAACACACCTCAAGTCTATTCTATCCAAATGTTGCACACTATCTATCTTATTCAGCACTACATGAGAACATGATTTTTCTCCCTCCTCAGTATGTTCTGCAAATAGGTTTCGTAATTTGGCTTAATGCCAAAGACAAATAGAAACAAATACATCTATCTCAACCTAATTTTTTTCCACTTTTCTTTTTTTTATACAAAACTTTCTCATTCATGTTTATCGACTCTATTATGCTCAGTCAAGCAAAATCAGGGCTTAGCAGCCTACAAAATATTCTTAAAATACAGAAACAATGCTACCAGCTCTATTTTGAATATTCGTTCAAAAAAATACTTTTAAAACATAAACTTTAAAATGCCATTAGCATGCAATTATGCAATTATTTCATTCTATGACATCATATGGGTGACCGTACCACATAGGAGTCAGGAAAGGAGGTTCAGGGGTCTTGACCACCTGGACCCGAACCTTGACTCCGCACTTTGGTGAATATGACCTAGGGTAGGAGCTTAGCCTTCTCGAATGCCTCCCCTTCTCCATCTACCTGACAGGGTTACTGGGAAGAGTAAATAAATCAATATATGGAATACTTAGACTGCTGACTGGACATAGGATCCTCTATAAAGACTAGCTAGTATCTGTCATGAACTCCTCCCTTTCTCATAATTTTATGTTTATGATGAGTTGTTACGTTAGAAACCTCTTTGAAAAGTAAAGTAGATCGGTCTTACTGTATATCAGAGTTTGAGTCTCCCAATAATTATCTTCATAATTTTTACTTAAGTGAGAGCTAAATCCTGGTTCAAGAAATTACCCCCCCCCCACACACACACACAAACAAGCCCATTTATTCCAATTGCATGTACCAAGTAAGGCAAATTTAAGTGTTGACATCCATTTCATAGATACCTCCAATTTTTCAAGGTTTATGATTCTATCATAAAACTCATTTCCCAAGAAAGCTTGCAAATCTCTCAGTCTGTATGTCATTATTTTTTCACTGTCTTTTTTTTTTTAGTGCATTTGACTTGACCGGTTATTAGCCAAATCAAAATTACCTTTAAAAATTTTTAAATACAGATTCCACAAATAAACACACTGGATAAGAGTAGTGAAGCCACACGCAGAAGCAAAGAAAGGAGCTAGCACTGAGGGTGTGGGTGTGGATGACCGTTCAGATGAAGGCTGACACCAATGGGGGCAGGGGTGGCCATCATCTGGATCCACCCAGTGGCTCTCACGAGGGCGGTTGGCTGGTGTAGCATTCATCCCAGATATTAGTCAAAGTTTAGACACCTACCAAAAAAAAAGTACTCTAGGCTTCCTTTAATAATATATCATAACTCATTTTTAAAAATGATTTTTAAGTGGTACCTTACTTGATGGGGTAATTACTTTTGTAAAGTCACCATAGTCTATCTAAAGTAGAAACTTATATTGTTTCAAACTTTAAAGGGAAGTCTCTGGCTCTAATATTGTAGAATTTAGTAAACAAACCTGTTTAGTAGCTTATATAATTATGATTGCACTGAGCTTGATGTTTCATTCTCATGTTTGGATGGAAGCACTTCCCTTCCCATGCTTATTTTCTGCTCTTCCTTCTCAGGTAAACAAACCAGAACCACAAACTGTGCACAGAGGTGGGGGAACTCCAGCTTTATATAAAACTCTTCCTGTTGGGTCTTACTGAGACCCCAACTGAGTCAAAATTCCAAACTGCTTGTTTTAAATGATAGCTTTTCTTAACTGAAAAACAGACAGCAAAGGCATTTTTTTTTAATTTTGTACAAATAAATCTATTTTCTAAAGAATGCAATTGAATATATTTGAAAACTGGCTGAAGTAACTTGCATCAGCTAATAAAAATGGATAAAAAAGTTCAGAAGCCCAAATCAGTAACCTCAGATATGTATCTAAAAATAAGTGACAACCTGACATAACACGACACCTACTAACTTTTTTCTAACTATATTATTCTGAGATAGAAGTAATTATTGCATGAATTTTTCCACTCATCTAAGCTGTCCTATTTAGTAATTTAAAATCAAGCAAACAATAAATATCACAATTAAAATACAGTGCTTTCTGCACAATAATAAGGAAGGGTAGCATATCACAATGCAGATTCTTGATCACATTTACTAAACATGTAAATATTTATATTGTAAAATAATTAGATTCTTACCCCGATCGAAGGCCTTTCCAGGACTCCAAGTGTGGAAATAATCATCCTAAGAAGGAAAATATTGTGCGTTGAGTGTATATGAGTAATTAAATTGTAAACATTCATATAAAATCTAAATTAAAATATGAAATACAGAAGCTGAATACAAACCTCTACTTCCTGCCATGGCAAGCAGCAAATTATAAAAAAATAAACAAAAAACAAGGAAAAGGAACAAGAGAAAAACAATAGTTACCAAAAGGGAACACACTGATTATAGATCATAGAAATGTCTTTAAAAAAGTGCTCATTTTCATTGCAAGTTCATTTTCATAACAATTTACCTACTTCTGTTGCCACTTCACCTAAATATTATAACACAATACTTCCCATTGCAGGTCAATGCACAATGCAACGTGCAGATAATCACCCAAAGCTAATAAACTATAAACGTATCTTTCCAGTTTCCAATTATACAACTTCATTTCCCACTAGCACAACAGTAAATGGAACCATTAATATAACATGGAAAATACTAAGTGATCCTTTACTAGCCCACAGAGTAAATATACTTTATGCAGATCTGTCACACGTTAATTAAATATCTAAGGAGTTCATCAAAATTCAATTGGAAGCTTGAAAAAATAATGTGCACCTAGTTAGATCTTGTCTAAGGTTTAAGTCTTTGATGTGGAAAATAATTATTACAACATATTCTCTATAAATTTATAAATGGGACTATATAATTTAGAAGTGGGGCAAGTATAAAAAAGAGAATTTTTAAAAAGCAAATCCAAACTAAGTCTATTTTATTTATTGTTTGTAGCTTTCTAAGCCCTGCAAAAATACTTCATACACAATCATCTTTTATGGTAAATAGAACAGATTTAACTGTCAAATTAATAAGCTTCTTGCACAGTAATAAGGAAGGGTAGTGCATCACGATGCAGATTCTTGATTACATTTCCTAGCTCTGTACACAAACCCACTCCAGCCCGTCTGTTGGAAAGCCACAGAACCTTGGGAATGTGAAAAGGTCAAGTAGATTCTTTGAACCTTCTTCCTAACATCTTTGCAAACACCCTTGGGTGTACAAAGAGGAAAAGGTAGTACATATTTTAATTATGGAAATAAATATGCTTCTCTAACTTAATTATTCAAAAAATGTTAAATTGTTACAAATGTTTTTCCTTATGATGACTGATCATTCATCACCACCTTCTGCACTCCCACCTGACCACCTTCAAGGGCAGAAAAAGAAGGAAACAAAGGAAAACCAGAGAAGATACCTCTGTCACTCCTATATTTAGGTTGAGATAGGATTATATTAAGAGGGGCATGCCACAGCAATCTATGTATAGGTTCTACACTAAATTATCTAGGATTAGATTAAGAAAGGATAACACCACTGGAGAATTAAATGTTGATTGTTTAGTCTCTTTTTAACATCTCTTTGTAAAACAATTATAGCATGATAAAGTCCTTGAAAATTCAGCTTTCCAATTAAATTACTCCATTCAAAGTCTCAAAAATTTACCTGAGGATCATAATACACTCATTTGTAACTTAAGTTCTTATCTTACATCTTACTGTTGAGGATGATGACTATTAGTCATTCCATGCCCAGAGGGGAGTTGGAGGTCCTCCTGAAGCATAACAAAAGCTGGACTATGAGCATGAGCTATGGATTTGGAGAAGGGCAGGGCTGAATTTTAAGTCTGGCTTTACCACTTATTAACTGCATCACTTTAGAAAAAGTGATCATCTAAACCTCAGATAATTGTGACTTAAGTTGGAAACATAATACCTACTTATCTGGTAAGTGCTGTGGGGATTAGTTATAAAGAATGTAAAAGACCAGCACAACACCTGGCATCAAGGAGGCATTTAGAGCACAACCAGAGGGGCCTGGTTCACGCTGTGTTAGTATCTTTGGGTATCATCGCCATTGGGCAAGCTCTCACTACTACCGCAGTCCTTGAATTGTTCTGGTTTGTTGTATAGAGCCATGGACTCCTCATAACATTTTTTAAAGTGGTGTGCAAACTGTGCCCCTCCCAATGTCAAACTTGAGACACAGTGAAGCCTACCATCCATGACTGCAGCTAATACAAGAGGCAGGTTTTCTGCTGTCACCCCAAAGTGCTCTGAAGTGGTACGGCTACAGTGCCCCCAGCCAGGAGGATGTGGCTAAGTTTTTACTGCAGTAGTGACTCCACCCACACAAATACCACAGAGATCTAGAACGGGAACAGCTATGAAACTGACACATTAGCACTGAACCTGACAATAGGAAAGGAACATGTCTGACCCAACACATACCCTGTGAAACACTCCACACTGTACAGATAAACAGGAACTGAGTGAACACATACTTAAGAAAGAACACGATGATCAAGTGTAAGGCAACCACATTTGATTAACTTCCTTCTGAATGGCATGATCATGTTGCGTGAGTTTGGGGCCATAGCTGTGTAAAAAATCTACAATCACCATGCAAAGCATGAGCCTTGTTAAGTCAAGGGCAGGGCCGATGTCTGGCCACTGTAGGAACTTGATAGAGTGTAGAAAAGCAAAGCAGTTAGCTGTTGGCTATTTTTGGATATTTTTCTTTGTACTTCCACATCCCTAGACTTTCCTTTTTTCATGTAAGTGGTTTTACCTCATTAAATCTTAGGAATTTTGCCAGGAAGAGAAGTAAAAGTATTTTCACACAAGTGTTCACTCAGGCGCAATTTCTTTTGTTTCAAAAAGCTTTGTGTCAATGTTGGATGTTCTTAGGATTTAATTTAGATCCAAAATAAGTCAAACAGGGATTTAGAAAACAACTGTAGGAAGTACCCCAAAGGGAGAAATTCAGGTTTGGATGCCTAAAATCAAGGCTGAGTGTTCCCACAGGCAAAGCAGTATTCTTGTCCCAAAGCTTACGTGTCCCAAAGCTTATGCCAGTGAATTACAGTGACAACAAAATTTAATACTAGACCTTTGCCAATGTCTCATATGGAAAGAAATAATATTTATTGGCATTCCAAAGGTGTAGTCTGCATAAGAAAATTTGTGTAACCTCTTAAAATTATTCCTTGCAGTTTTATGGAAATGCTCATTTTCTTATAATTTTAAATAAAATACATATTTAATATAAAACAGTTTCTCAAACTTGGCCCTATTGATATTTTGGGCTAGATAATCCATTGCCAAACTGGGGGAGGGGCCTGTCTTACACTCTGCATTCTGGGTAGCAGTAGCCCTGTCCCCTCCCCAGAAGAGGCCAGCAGGCCACCATGGGGAGGGTCACCTTGTTACTTCTCAAGGTGTGACAAATAGAAACGTCACCAAATATTACCAAATGTCTACTCTGGGGGAAAGAAATCACCTATGTGAGGTCCACTGATGTAAAGTTGTTTGGAAATAACCAGAAAGACAAATGAATTGAAATATCCTACACCAAGGGGTTGCCAACAGTGACAGATGCTTCTTCAGAAATGTTTTATTATATTGAGATAATATTATTATATATTCAATTTTATATCTAGGCTTTTTATGTAACATTTTGTTAGGAGCACTCTACATTGGATCAATATGTTCTGCCAAAATATTTCATGGCTGCCTAATAGGCTTTTCAAGTGGATTTACCATCATTTAGCTATCTGGTCATGTGCCTGTGCTTTCATATTCTTTAGAGTATTTTGTTATAAGAAATAACTCAAACATAAATGTCTGACCAAGTATCTATTTTCTTATGAACACAGAATATAAGCATAGGAAAGTGGTCACTGGGTTATTCACCACAAGGTGACCCTCCCCATGGTGGCCTGCTGGCCTCTTCTGGGGAGGAGACAGGGCTGCTGCTACCCAGAATGCAGAGTACAAGATAGGCCCCTCCCCCAGTTTGGCAATGGATTATCTAGCCCAAAATATCAATAGGGCCAGAATGGAGAAACTAGTTTCCTGTGACAATAACTGGTTCTCACTAGGCTTTGTGCAGATGAGGCAGTTTGGAAGGACAAGTTTATACACAAAGATTAACTGTGTTGTTCATTCACTCACTGCTACCTCTGTACTCATAAAGTATCCCTTTGCCTGAAGGAATGTATGGATTGGCAGACTGGGTCAGCAGTGTCTTAAACATCGCCATAGATTCTGATATGTGATCAGCTGGAAGTTGGAGAGTCTTCATGCCCAAGAGCTCCACGATGCCTGAGATGAACACAGAAAGGTATTACTCAGATCATGTTAGCCATCAAGAGCCATTCGGCCTGTTCCAGTGCCTATGAAGAGCTATATAGGCCATAAAACCTTACTGAAATATGTATTTTAAAGGAGATGGCTAGCAAAGCATGCCACTTTTAAACAATAATCAATAGGGATACTATTGAAGTTATGGGCACAATTTCCACACACATTCAGCAACTGATGTGAGATGGCAACTGTAAGGTATTTTAAGCTATAGAAAAAGTGTTAAATGACTATAAAATGACAACCAAAGATAACACTTTGGAGACACATTGCAAAAATAAAATGAGTGTTAAGGTGATGACTATCAGTGGTGGACATCTCTGATGCAGTACACACATAGCCTAAAAATGTGACACTCCAGTTCTAGGTTGGGTATAGAATCTTATGGTCAATCTATACTGAAATAGTTAGGTGATAATATATCCACAGTACTCTTCTCTATCTGAAGTCTGACATCAGAATACCTGAAATTTCATACAGGACTTTTGCATATAGTGATCCCTTTGGAATAAACACACTATATATATTACACATACGCTGAAATGTGTGTATATATACGTACACATACACACACATAAACACATATACATATATATGCACACACATGAATGCATACTTTAAATGGGTCTATTACACAGATACATTTCCTCACTGTCTATAACATTTGAATGTCACTTAAATAATATTTTATTCATATGACTTTAGGCATATGAGACATCTCACAAGGCAGATGTATTTTAACAAACTATAGCTTTGTCAAAAAAAAAAATCCATGTGGCATAAAATTGATAAGATTCCTTTAAAGATTTGCAGAACTACCTTAAATACAATTATGGAAATCTAGAAACCTTAGTCTCAGGGACAGAGTAAATAAATAAATGAACAAAGTAACTAAGTAAATAAAAAAATTCAGCTTTAGTATTACCAACCATTTATATGGACAC